TGATTTTTGAAAAATTAAACTTATCACCTCATTTTCGAATATGAATTTTGAAAAGTAGGGTTTTGGGTAATTTTCTCTTTTTGAAATCATTGGTTTGGATTCACGTGGATCCGTCAAATGTTTTGGTTTTGAACTGAATCAAACCGTTTCAAAATGGTTTGGTTTAAGTTTTAATCTTTGCAAACAATTTCAAATCGTCAAACCCTTACAAAAAATAAAATAAAAAAAATTATATTTTACCCAACCCAATTAAAACTGAATACGTTCTAACTAAAAAGATACATTCATATTAAACATAACACAATTAAACTCAATATGTAAATAGACAATTATCTATCTTAATTAATTAATTAAATCATATCCAAATATTCATCAAGTCATTGCAACTGTGAATGTAAAATCATCAAATTGGGAGAAGTGTTGAACAACTGTTGCTGAACCATATTCATAGACCGTCTATTAAAATTGAGTGAGCAATTTAATCTAAATTTTAATTCAAACTCACACATTCCTTTCCCTTCTACTAATAATTTTCGAATTTTGGCTAAATTTTCAAGTTAGTTTATCCAAATCTTCTTCTTCTTCCTTTTTTTTTCCTATATTTTATTGTTAATTACGTTGTTTTGTTCTAATTTATATCGGGCTCCCTTAAATTTTTAGCGGACAATACATTTTTTTTATTTGCGTTTTAATTTTTTGGTCAGGTCAGGTCACTCAATTAATTATTGACATTTAACTTAGTTTCTAGATTTTATTGTTCATTGTTAGAATGATTTGATGGATTACTTAAATGGTCATTTTGAAGATTTGACCAATGAGCTTTTCGACATATCACTTTGGTGAAAATTTAGTGCAAAATAAATATAAGGTTGTCTCCCAAATTGTTGAAGATGTGTTAGCTATTCAAATATTTACAATAGTTTCTGAGTTTGCGTTCCTTACTAGTAGTCAAATTCTTGATTTCTTTAAAAGTTCGTTGAGTGTAAATATGGTTGAAAAGGTAGTTGTAAAAATTAGCTACATAGTAAAAAGAAACCTATAGTGATTTGTCAATATTTGAATCAGGTAAAAGCACTAGATGATTCACAAAAAGTTATAGAATTTGTTATATGCATTTTCTTTTATTAGTAGTCTTATATCATTAATTATAATCAATAAATTCATATACTATATTCTTATCTTCATGGAGTTAACAATTGCAGATGTTGTGCCATAAGTATTGACTAAGAAGTTAAAATGTTTATATCATGTCGTAGCATTATAATGATTAGAATTATAGAATTTTGATTTGTAATATTTTTAATAATACTATTTATGTTTTAACATGAAATTTTAAACTAATATTTATGATTTAACTTCTTCTATTATATTTTTTTTATATGTTAAACAGTGGTTTTAAACCGAACTAAACCGAAAAAAGTGGTCTGGATTTGTTTGGTTTAAAAATTGAAGTGGTTTGGTTTGAAAAAAAATTACAAACCACTTTAAGCTGTGGTTTAGTTTGAAATTTTGTCACAAACCATCCAAATCGAACCATTTTCACTCCTAATAAAAATTGTAAAAATGTCCTTAGTTACTAACAAACTATTCCATCCATAACTTAATAAGAAGATAAAAATACATAAACTTCATCGACAACTTCTCTATCGGCTAGCATTGATGGTATAGTCACAAACATTGCCGATGACATTGTTAATCGAGTTATGAATTATGTCAAAATCATCGAGAGTAATATACATAGTCGATCATCAATAGAATTTTCAAAAGCGCAAAAACTTCAAAGATACAAGTGTTTTGTTTGGGAAATTCAAAAAATGTTTCCTATTTTCTGTTAAGTTAGTAAACTCTATTGAAGCTTTATAAAACTATTATGGTCCGTTTGATTACAAGAATGGAATTTGGGTGGAAATAAAATAAATTTTAGAGAATTGAATTGCCTAGAATTTGTTTTACTGAAAATTGTCAATTAATTGTATTTGATTGATATAATTTTCCACCTGAAAAATATTGAAATTTTGGATCTTTTGATGTTCATTTGGCTTTGTTTTCCATGAAAATTTGTTACAATTAGGGATATAATTTGTTTCAATTGTCAAAAAAAGAAAAAACAAATTGCCTAGAAAACCAAAAACAACCAAACCAATGGGAAAACCAATTCAAGGAAAATGTGGAAAATAGAAAATGAGGTCACCTGAGGTATAAGTTGAAAAACTAATTGTCTAGAAATTTTTTCCTATCAAACAGTCTAAAAGGTGAAAAATGGAAAATAATTTTCAACTTCCATGAAAAATTCTTCCTATCAACTAAATGCGAAGAAGTTATGTATTACTTTTCATCGCATTTAGTTGTTTTATTAAACTCATCTGTATGTTAAAATTAGTATACATATTAATATTAATGTACAAGATAAGACAGAAAAGTGCCAGAATATTAATCATAAGGAATAACATTTTTAAGATAATAATGATTATATTTTAAAGTTTAAGTTAGGTTATATTTATGGTTTTATTTTTTATTTAATTTATATTTAAAAAAAATTTTGTAGTTAAATATAAAATTTATATAAATAATATATAAATTTTCACAATGTTTCCGCCATTGTTCTCTGTCCTTTTTTCAGAAATGACATTTTCCCATGTAATGCTGCCGTATCTCGTTTCATTTTCAATTTTTGTGCAACCTAGGCAAGGAATGCTGGTGGCCGGTGGGTGGTCGTAATGTGAGAAAAAACTGAATGGAAAGAGCATGAGACTTAAGGAAAGTGTTGGCGGGTGAGAGAAAAATAGAAGAGTGCGATTTAGGACCACTGTCACAATAAAATGAAGTTGAGATGCATTTTTATTCATTAGATAATGTGATTTGACTTTACAGTAATATAAATATTTGCAAGTATCACTTGTGCTAAATAATATTACTCGATACTAAATTTGGAAAAAGCAACGAAAGTTGTAGCTTGGACTTTTTGCGGCTACGGTCGTTAATTAGGATTTAGGTCCAAGTAAAAATGTAAAGCGGGTCAAAATGGTACAATTTGGTCTTAACCGAACAATCTCATCATGTGTATGTTGGAGGGCGAGGGAATCCTCATTTTGTTCTAGAATTCTTTTTCTTAATCCAAATAAGAGATAGAAAATAATTTTTTTAAAAAAATCTCTGCCAAACAAGGAATATCATGTCATTATAATCTTTCTATTTTTATGCCTTTAATTTTTTAATAAAACCTTTACTGCCTAGCCGATAATATAGGGGATTGGCAAATATCACTCACATTCACGTCTCTCTCTTGCCATAAATAAAAAAAAATTAATGAGAATATTTACTTCACTACAACAGGAATAATATGAAATTTCTTACTCCAGATTTTGTTTAATCGTTGTCATATATAATTAATAATTATGACTGCTTTAATTGGGTTTCGCCATTAGGAATTATTATAGATTTTTAAGGCTTAAAATAGATATGGCCTTATACGCATTTTAATATATTATTTTTCTTTGATTAATTCAGGATGTGTTTGATGGATATTATTGAGAAAATAATACATTTTAAATAGTGATATGATGAGAAATATGTGGTTAAAAAGTAAAGAAAAGTTACTGATGTGATTAAAAATATTATTTTATTGAATAATGTGTGGTTGAAAATGAGTTTTGAAAAAATATATTTGAAAGAATGTGTACCAAATATGGACTCAATGTGAAAAATAAAATACTTTTGTACTCGCTTGAGACACGACTTATCTGCTTACGAAAACGTGTTGCAGTCCAAAATGCAGGGTGGAGATGATTTATTGCGACTGGATATAATACTTTCAATCATGCTACATTTACATCATCTTTTACACTTTTTTTTTTTTTTTTACATTTTTTCACGTGACAAAATATACACTCTTGATTTTAAACTCATTCATCACATCACTTTACAGATTT